GACATTTGAGTTTGAACTCAATGTTAGCAGCTTTTTCGATCTTTTGTCAAGATATTACGAACTTCGTCTTATAATTTGACTGCATTAGACACCAATAGCCAGCCAAACTTAGGATGGAAAATAGTTTTCACATACAAACAATTGTTCTTGGTATTGAAAAGCTCATATTCTTCGATAGGACTATGGGTAGTTTATGTTAAAAATGGTGCATTCAAGGTTTGATAGATTCTAGTTGGTGCGAAACCTAGCCCTTAGTTCAGAAATTTCTGGAAAACCTCCAATATCTGCTGTCCCGGTCTGGGTCTTGCATCGTCCAGTCCAAGAACTAAAACGTATAAGAGATGTTTACTGGTGTAACTTAAGCCAGAAGGATATGATGCTGTCCTGCCAACTGGAATCTGATTTTATCTGATCGATAATTTATATTCCAGTTATCAGTATATATTGCTACATGACGTTCTAGATATTAAGATAAACGATCAGTGTTAATATCGTATCAATGTCAACTTGTCGACATCAATATAAAATATATTGATTATTAGTACCAGTATATTAAAGGTATCCACCCAAATGTATGCAACGCCAATTTTTAAGGAGAAGTATGCACTAGCTTCAAATTAACAAAAATTGTGTAGAATCTTTTGTAGACAGATTTATTAACTTCTGCGAACAATGCTCAATCATTCTTGGAGTAATTCAATTGCTTGTTATTTTTTTGTATTATTATTATTGTTAAGTTTTTATAACTTTTAGCATCTTGCCGTTTGTTTCTTTTTAAGTAAGTCGCTATGATTTGATTTGGTGTTGGATAACTTAATGCATTTGATTTCAATAAACGCCGTATATGTCTCCATCTTATTCTAAGGCCCAACACAGGAAACGAAATGTTTTTGGATTACGTTATGTAGGCTAAATGCAAAACGTCATCGACATGAAGAACTTACACCAATCCATACTGCTGCTTCCTGGCCTATCCGGCAATTTACCCACAAAGAGCACATTATAGTTCAAGTTTCAGAATATGGAATATGGTAATCGCATTTTGAGGGTTGGATTACATTGATTCAACGGGCTATTTCTTCTGCGTATTTCCGACAAAACGATTGACAGTAAAATTGACGGATATCCTGTAACTAACACTGGCATTCTGCAGAAAAAAAGGTAATTCATCAAGCTTTTCGTTATAAACTTTTCTGTATTTGACTGAGGCTAATGAAGACGTCATTCTAGATCAGCGAGGATCAGTTTGCCATTACCGACCTCTTTTTCGACTTCAATTTTTGATCGATTTCTAACGTGTACGGCTTGTAGCGTACTCTGATTCGTAGCTTTCTTTGAATTGCATGACTGACAGGGGGAAACTATCAAGTTCTAACAACTGAAGGCATTTAGCGGAAAGCATCTAACATTGACATATCATACATCAGACTTGACTATGCCAGGGTGACATTATAGTAAAGCGACCACGATGAAACAGTTTTGGCAAAAAACATTACAGAATATATAATACTTAAAATCATTTAATATCACTGTATAATTGAGAATATTATAACTTATGTAAATGAAAAACAGTGAGCAGTATTATACACAATAATTAATGTATGTATAGGCAACAATGGTTATTGTATATGTACCGAAAAGGCCAACAGAAAAAATACAGTGTGCAGTTTTATGTCATGGTAATGAAATAACGTACAGTTTTATGTTATAGTATTAATATAACGTACAGTTTTATGTTATAGTATTAATATAACGTACAGTTTTATGTTATTGTAATAAAATAACGTACAGTTTTATGTTATACTATAGTAATAAAAGAATGTTATAGTAATAAAATAACGTACAGTTTTATATTGAAATAACGTACAGTTTTATGTTATACTAATGAAATAACGTACAGTTTTATGTTGAAATAACGTACAGTTTTATGTTGAAATAACGTACAGTTTTATGTTATGTTAATGAAATAACTGTAAATACACTAGAATGACAATGAACAAAATGTGATTTACAGTAAACTCATTGAAAATGTACAGTAAACTCATTGAAAATGTAAACTCATTGAAAATGTACAGTAAACCCATTGAAAATGTACAGTAAACCCATTGAAAATATACAGTAAACTCATTGAAAATATACAGTAAACCCATTGAAAATATACAGTAAACTCATTGAAAATATACAGTAAACCCATTGAAAATATACAGTAAACCCATTGAAAATGTACAGTAAACCCATTGAAATGGATGTAAACTTATTGCAAATGATCAGTAAACTCATTGAAAATATACAGTAAACCCATTGAAAATGTACAGTAAAGTTATTGAAAATGTACAGTAAACTCATTGCAAATGATAAGTAATTTCGTTGAAAATGGACAGAAATCGCATTGAAAATGTACAGTAAAGGAAAGGCATTGGAAAATATACAGTTTAATGTATAGAACAGTCGACTTATATTGAAAACACCCAATTGTTTAATGACATTAATAATACTGTATAATTGAGCATTATTAAAACGACATGTAAAAATCGATACTAATGAGAATAAATATAATACAGACGGGGATAGATAAATACAGTGTATATGGAACTGGCATAGAAAATACACAGTATTATACCAAATAGATTGTTTTAGTTACTAGACAATTTTCAGTTTCTTTTATCATATTCCAGTTATTATTTTATTATACACGTATTATTGAAATTATACACTATGAATTGGATAAATGACACATAAACAGAATAATATAATAAGTATGTATTATAAATATAATATGAACTATCTAATAAGTTCAGACAGCAATGCATTAGTTAACTATACTGTTGTCAGTTACGCTCTGCAATAGATTTCGGTGAAGGGCAGTGGACAGTCCGAAAGTATTATTTTGGGTACATACAGATGCTTTTCTTTCTTTATATTGAATGCTTATGGACGGCTTTTTAGGACGGTTTCTTGATTTGCACTTATATGTATTGTGGATAAGAAGTTTCGTGTCGAATACATTGGAAAATGTATAAATTTCAGAAACTGTCAGAATATGTTAAATGATACATTATTTGTCTTCAAATCTTGATACAAAAGTAATAGAGTTTAAATTAAGAATATTCTATTGAGTGTTTAGCTTCAAGGAATGAAGTAAAGCAACACACGGAATACGTCCATCAAACATCAAAAACCTTCATGCATTTTGCCAAGTTTTATTCTCTCTTTCAATTTTGTTTAATTAGCTTGAAAACTTGAATTCGTTAATGAATTTGATCTTTGTTTTAACTCAAAACAGGTATCAGATGTTTTTCACAACAAATTACCTACCTTCGAAACACAAGAGTTCCGACATAGCACTTATTACACCTTCACGTTTAGAGAGTTATTAAACTACTTAATAGATTGGTTTTGGCTCTGATATCTTAATGGTATTTAACATCTTCTATCTCATGCACTGTATTAGAATGACGTTTCGGCCAGACAAATTTAGAATAGTACTATAACGAAATACCCATGTTGTGTATTGTTATTGACCTATACTGGACGTGTTTTGCCTTGACACCTCTAAGACCGGCATCACTAACAAGGGAACCTCTCTATCTATCTAATTTAGATTTCTAGAAATAATGTTAGTCGACCTTGACTTGTGGATTGATTTGTTTGTCTGTTGAGCTCCAGATACTCATCTATTTGGCAAGATTGAACAGTTTGTTTATTCTATCGATAAAGAACAGTTACAAGTTACTAAACCGAGCCGTTTCCTGGCAAGATACATACTGGCTGACCAAAAGCGGATTTAATCTGGAATTCAAGGATATAGTCGTCCATTTCTTTCGCTTAGTGTCAGCTGACACTTCGTACTTACTCTTTTAGACACCTAATACCACTTTTCATTATGATATACTAACTTACTTATGATTGATATACTGATATATGTGAAAAGTTCATTAGCTGCTTCCAATATTTCGCCAAAATGTTGATTTCGGGTTTCGTTTTGCAGTTCGGATCGTTTGTAATTGGTTTATTTAATCTCAGAATGAAAACATGACTTCAGAGTTCGACTTTTACTCAAAGGCGTTGATAGGATTATTGAGCATTCAATGTATTTCACAGGATATTCTAGCTTTTTGCTGATAGGCCCTTCCCAAAGGTCTAGAAGTTTGGGTTAGTTGGGCTGCAACCTCCTTTCAGTATATTTCCAGTGGGCATCAAATGACGATGTTCGCAAAGTTGGAATGTTGGATTGTTCACCCACCTTCCTCAACAAAATATACTGTTTGTAAAATCATTTTAATAAAATCCCTGATTAAAATTACTGACTCAGAGGAAGTTGTTTTAAAATTAGACATTCACTAAGCACAAAGTCTTTCATTGTAAGTTGCTTTCAAAACATCTTCGATGATAACCAAAATTAAAAGTCATTTAATGGTACAAATCTAAAACCAAATTCATCCACTTCCATCGTGTCACATGACATGGTCTTATTAACCCGTATTAAACTAAGCCTACACTTTGTTTTGGGACGTGGAAACGAGATAAGAACACATTCTTTCCAAGTAAATATTCCAAAGTAAGGGTTTGATTTCTCTCGGCTTCAATTCTTTAACGAAAATATTACTCACTTTTGTACCGTACATATTCATCAAAAAATGTCATGGCACATTTCTTTCGTTTTGTGTATGTTCACAAACAAAGCGTCATAACGAGTGATTTGTTTTCATTGGCTGAAATTTGTTACCAATACTGTAGGGCCAATTTTGATTGGACCAAATTTAGCTATGAATAAGTAATTTTATCTCACTTGTGTTACCACGTGCCCGAGGAAGTATGACGGATAGGGTGTGGTTTGGACACGATGATATTACAAGTACGCTCCAGGTCGTACTTTTGCAATATAAATGAATGTCGTGTAACTATTCATAAAAATCTAAACACTTCCGAAAAGTTCTCCACAATTGAGTCATTTCGTTTTCATGTAGGCCTACGTTACAAGTTGCATACCAAAAACTGTCACATGAATCAAAAACGCATGGTTTCAAAGAGAATCGATTATGATAGCGCAGTGGTAATGATATTCTTGAGCGTAATATACCCGTAACATACACGTCCTCCATACTGAGCAGTCTTGTTTTCAAAGACATTTGGAATAAAGGCTTAATGAATGTTCTTGGAATCACATAACAGGAACCGTCCACATAGTCTGGATAAAAGGTTAATGGATACTCCGAATAATCAATGTGCCACTTGTTCGATTTGTCCCGAAATGGCAAGCGTACTCTTTTTGTATATCCTAAAATATCCGCTCCTTCTTTGAAATCATTTAAGATATCTAATAACAACGGCACATTTACAAATATGTCCGAATCGGTTTTAACAATAAATTGAGCATTTTGACAATAAAAAGCTGCGAAATGTAAGATGGACTCTGATTTTAAAGTTAGATTTCTGTACGAATCTATGAAATCTTTCTGTATAATGTCATGATGAGTTTTACTCTCTTCTGCGATTTTTTCCTTGAACGTTTTCGATTCTGATTGGGCAAGTATGAATGCTAAACGGATACCACGATCCCGTGAAGCGAGGGATCCCCATGATTCTCTGATCTGTTGTCGGAGGGTGAAATCACTAGGGACTGAAAGAACCATAAAAAGTAGGAAAACGTCACCGTCACACAATCCAGGCTCATTGTGGATGAATCTATAGCTATGTTCTCTTATGTCCGTAAAACATGTGCTATTTGTAAATGGATGAAAACCACATTGAAATGAAAAGAAACGAATTGGTGTGAAACGTAAAATGATAATTATGAATAATATCAATACCGCTGACTTCAGGAGCAATTTTCTCCATCGACATGATCTTTTCACTGATGCTAGGAGTAGCATACTGAAAAACAAATTAAGACTGTGTTAGGTTAAAGTATTGGCTAGTAAATCATAAAGTGGCATTAGTTTACACTCACAATATTCACATTAATAATACACCAATTATATTCACTTACATTAATAATACACCAACAATATCCACTTACATTATTAATATACCAACAATATTCACTTACATTAATAATACACCAACAATATTCACTTACATTAATAATACACCAACAATATTCACTTACATTAATAATACACCAACAATATCCACTTACATTAATGATACACCAACAATATTCACTTACATTATTAATATACCAACAATATTCACTTACATTAATAATACACCAACAAACAATATTCACTTACATTAATAATACACCAACAATATTCACTTACATTAATAATATATCACTACAATTCTATTTTAACAATATACCACTAACATATTAATTGAATTTGACATATACCTCTAAAAGTTTCGCATTTATATTTATATGATTTTTTTACGACTAACAAAGTTCGTCGCTATAATTCCACCTATTCTGACATATTCAAGTGTCCACAAGCTGTCACCGACAGTAGGCCTATGAAGATGGTCATCATGATAGTAAGTGTTCACAATAACAAAATGTTATTTTTTATAAATTACACTTTTTGTCATTTTTACTTTATAGAACATTAGTTAACAAGAAATGATATCGATTTTATTTGATTGCGTTTCGGGGACAGAGAGGATTTGATTTTCCCACTAGTACAGCCTTGGGATGAAACAAAATACTTCATTGAAATAAGCGCTCTTAAACTGTATTTTTCCTCTGTTCTGATCTGATCATTTGGCGAGAGGTTAGTTTGTTATATACTAATTCGTTTTAGATTACCATGAACAAGGTTGTCATTTAAGTTCTTTGAACCTTTCGAGTAGGTGACAATCATCTTTTGTTCATAGACATGATAGAATTCTTCTTGCAGACTCTCATAAAGGTCATGGGGTATCTTACTTCCTCCATTGCTGGTGGTATTGATCGAGACAAAAAGGGTATTAAGCCTGCATTATGATGATATTTAGTTCTATCGGTCTTGCTGTATTTAGTGTCCTTAGCTTGACGGAATTTCCATCATCTGATGTCCAAGTTGAAAATGACAAAATCAGGCACGTTATTATTTAATTCTATCTGATCTGTGATCGTAAAATGAGTGCATAAATTATTTTTGGTTTCTCCTACATATGGTTTAAGCATTAGTTGATGAGTATCATTTTGCTCAAAATATACTCTTGTGACTAACGTTAGCAGTTAGTTTAATGCGTAGATGGTGATTATTGAGAATTTCAAAGAAATTGCAAATATCATCCAGAAAACGGCCATAAAACAATTGGTCAAATGGACACAGGGGTAATACATCGCGTTCCCACTCTGACATGAAAGGGTTGGCGTACGAAGGAGCGAAACACTTGCCGGTTGCAAATATGTTTACCATTGGATATTTGGGCAGGGAGGTTTCACGTTAATTTTTCTGAGTTAAGAAGCAGAAATAATTGTTTTCCGTGAGGTGATTGTTGCTAGTTTCGGAGTTGCTGAAAAGGCAGCACTGGGCTCGATTAATCTTTTAACCTGACCTGATTAACACCGCGTCACAAAATGCCAGCGTTGAAGAAGGTAGAAATTTAATTGGATAAGCTTACGTCATTGAGTTAGGTTGAAAGGTTAATTTGACGAACGTTCAACAGGGTTGTAGTTAGACCTTAACGGAAGTGGCTATATAAAAAATAAACGCTTATAAAAAAACGAACGAAGGTTTGGTCTTTTGATAAGACCAGAGCCTATATAGGCTCTGATAAGACTGGCTTTAGCTCTGCTATTAATTGATCAGGATGACGTTGCATTAAGTCCGATACATTTGAACCTGATGTGAAAGAATGAAGTACTCATCTGTTTCAAATGTAGGTCAAATCAATGACTATCTATTTAAGATTGAACTACAGGGTTCTGTTTACTGACGACGGTTGCCAACGATAATAGAATGGAGCGGTTTGTCGCCTGTATCAAAGTTGGTCAATATTTTGACTCGGATAAAAGGATAGATTAAGACATGAAAGAACTGAATAGAAAACTTTGGTTGATGTTCCATGTATGTCATTAAGACGTCTAATGAAACGATTGTTTGAATTGAATTCCAGTTCACCGATGTCTGCATGCGATAAGACAGACGTGACCTATTTTTTAAGATAGAAGATCCATTATTGCACCCCATTACTTTCATGGATTTGGATATCCTAGCAAAGGGATTGTAAAGAGGTTTTCTAAACTTATCATGAGTATCGGGGAAATATCTGAGGTTTCCCGAATTCCTTACCTAGTTATGAGAGTCATGCCCGAAAAGCTTGCATTCGGGGGTGCGAGGCCGGCTACCCACTCTGTCTTCCCTTTGGCTCCGCCACTGACAGTCATGCGTTTACCGTACGAAAGGTTTGCTAAGGTAGACTGGCAAAACAAAACATCGCATCTGATCCACTGTACATGGCATGACTTGGGCGACACTAACAACTGAGAGCACCTGTGTGATGGCCCTTGACAACCAGGTGGCAAACTGTAATCTTTGATCGAAAGTAGAGCTCGTACAACTGGTGGCATGTGGCGACACCGCCTATTTTTCAATCGAGGGAATGATCATAACTGTCTTGGAAAATTCAATTGCAAGTCACATTACCTATCATCAATTTAGCGCCCAAGCTCAATTGATCAAAAAGGCTGCTGAAACAAGCTGGCCGCTTTATTAGCAGAGATAAAGCATCTGATGGTGTGATTCAAGTCTAGGCTTTGAACAATTAATGTGTTAGAAGGTCATAATAGTCCCGGAACTAACATGGGCCGTAATTGTTTTACATTATAAGCGATTGCCTCCTATTTCGGATTGCATGGAACTGCAATTCGCCTTGTTTGAGATAAGAATAAACTGTTACCATTAGTTGTGGATACTTGATATAGCCGTTATCACATTGTCTTATTGATTTACAGGATGATTGGTTACTTGTCCAGTTGGCTTCCCCCTAATCTTATTAGGAAATTAAATGAAGTCCTAAATCTTTCATTTTGCAAGTGTTATAATTGTTCTTCAGTGGTATCACAAGAAGTAATGACACCCCATCCCGTTAAATTTTCTATTTCATCGTCGCGTTCCTTACTGTTGTAAGTGGCTGCTTTTCCTTTCATTTTTGCACCTCAAATCATTTGTATATGTATTTCGCCGTCATAGTTCAATATTCTAGAATAAGTCATCCGACTTACTAGCCCGCACTCATTTCTTTTGAGTTTACTTAAATGTTAACATTACATATTCTTGTAGACCTTATCAGTAAGCGAATACGCTTGTTATTTGGAATAATGGTTCTTATTCTCTGCAGCAATGTTTTTTAATGTCAAACAATTAGATAATGGGGAAAAATTGTCGATTCTCGACATTACAATTCCCTGTTTCATTAAACTAATCACATTAACTGATCACAATATGTCATTTTGTCTTACGATTTTTGACAATTTCATTGTGTATTTTGACACGAGTTTCCATGTTTTTGGTTATATCTGCAAAAACATGTTCACTACAGGGTAATAAAAATATCATGCAAGTAAAGATTTCGTACCTAATTGAGCCGAAGTGAGTATTTATCAATCATGTTCTGACGTCACAGCAGTCCAAAATTTGCCGCCTTATCGTGTACTCTTGGTACAGTACCAGTTTTGGATATTGGTCCGCAAAGATCAAAAGGTAATGCCACATCTGTATTTTAACAACAACTATTTAGATCGATGTACAAGAATAGAAGAGCTGGATAGGTTCAACAACCACCACCAACATAATACTCAGGAACAAGAGAGCGAGTTTTTATGCTCAACAACCAACAAGATGGATGTTCAACAACCACCAGGATAAATACTCAGAAACCAGGGACACGACGTAATTGCTCAACAACCAACAAGATGGATGTCCAACAACCAAAAAGATGGATGTCCAACAACCAACAAGATGGATGTCCAACAACCAACAAGATGGATATTCGAGAGCCACAGAGGAGGATTGGCTCAACAACAACAAAGATGTTTTACAACCAAAGGAAGACCAAGGCGGGTTCAACAACCACAAACATCGAAGATGTTAGCCAACAGCCTAAAGTACACGTTAATCATTTTGATTAATATTCATAATACCTCGAGAGTCACAATTCTTCTTACTAGATGGTAACCTTAGATATCTAAATACAATCGGAGACAATTTTAAATTCAATAATTGATGACTCTAATCAAGAATAGTCTTGTTTGTATTAAGTCAATGGTCTCCCTGTGTAATCAATATTACTTTTTTTCAATTTTAATGCTTACCAGACGTGTAGGTTTAAACCTTGTGATTCCCTTGATCATGTGGACTTCAAATACCCTTAGACTGCTTAGACTAACTCCTGGTATCCCTTGAAGAAGAGCCAGAGGCCAAGGTCTTGACCAAAACAAAGAACTCTTAAACTTTCGAAAATAAAAGCTTCTCGGGCACCCCCTTTTTTCGCTAAGACGATGTGCGTACGTGTGTGAATCACTATTTTACCTGCCATATCTTCTCTATACCTTAAAGTGAAAGGCCTACTACGTCTTAGAATTAACATAAAATTTAAGAATTTTAAACTTGGCGAATAAGAGCTAGTAGATATACCTGGTGTCATAAATAACATAACAGGATCCTTATATAATCCGATAAATCCAAAAAAAATAGTAATTATCCATAAATATGTAATGTCAAGATTAAGCGTTTTTCAAAAATTACTTAGTTTTATGAATTTTCCAATTTTCCAGATTTTACAGGGATTCTGTTGTAACTTTATTCTTAAGCTAACTGATGAAAATATACTCATATTGACCATTTCGAAAACTTAAATTCTATGTTCATAATATCACTTTAAGGTCTGATTCAGTATGTCAGTTTAATTCTCTAACACTCACCTGACGTGATCCCGTTTTCATCTAGAATGTAGGTAATAAGGCTAAACCCAATCAGTGATTTACATTTTATAACATATTACGCAAAGTTCCAACTACGCACGCGTACACAGTGAGAAATGAATTTTAAATATGTTTTGCTCATTGCTAGGTCAGTTACCGTCAGTTATAAAGTAGTCGGTAGTTCATTACTTTTCTTTTTTTATTGTTCATTCAATGGTCGCGCCGTTTTCATTAGAAATAAATCGATGGATGTTTCACGTTCTCGTAAACAGATGACTTCTTTATTCATTAAGGCGTTTATTCACAAGAATCGCCATGACAGTTACGACACGACAAGACACAACACGACCTTTCAATAGACGCATGGACTGTCAAAACGGTACGATTATTATTGCTGCTGCAGTCTCTTCTTATCAAATGATATGGAACACGACAATTAATTGTTGTAACAGAATGTAAGAAGAATCTTAAGTTTTTGTGATCTAAGAATCAACGAAAAATAAAACAGTAAACAAATACAACTTTGACTGGTCTCTTCAAAGAGCTGAGCTGATTTTCTTCCATCATGGTTGAATGGGTGTGAATGATTACAACACCGAAGAATGAAAAGTAAACCAGGATAATTGATTGCATTTAATTTTTACTTTGAAATTTCAATACGTGAAAAAATGTTTCAAATCTGCTGTAATTATTAAATATTAATTAGAACAGTTCAGCAAACTATGTTACTTTGAATTTTAATTATCCGAACTAGATGAAAAAAGTGGTGATATCATACTTATCATTATACTTACTTATCGTTAAATGATAAGAATTCAATTTCTATAATGAAACGACTTGAAATATTTAAAGATTTGATACTCATATAAATATAGTGGGTTTTTTTAAGGATGCGGGGGTGGGGTGGAAGACAAGGAAATGAGTTGATAACAGGTCCTTGAGAGAGTATTAGGAAAAAGAGTATTTTTAATTATAGATACTAGAACCAATGGAAATATAATTTGTTTTTATTAAGTGAAATTATCGTCTTCCTCTTTACACCTCATGATATCTCTGACTCGTCTATTTTTCAGATTAAACAAGTCAGAATAGATTGCTTGACCCTACCGTCACAACTCAACAACTTTCTAACCCTAGATTTTAAACATTAATGTAAGTACATCCTTTTTTCATCATTCCACATCTCTTCAAACGGTGAGAATTAACGAGATGTTTAATAGATAGCAGACGTGAAAATCTTGAAAAATTAGCACTTCCGGTTGATTGGATCGTGTTCAAGTAAATGTTAAGACATATAATTGAAACCGCTACATGATTGATAATGACACCAAAACGGAAAACAAAATCTCTTAATAGAAAGTATCTATCCTGAAGGCATATTATTCTGTTATTTGAGATTTTAGTAAAGATGTTTGGTGGTAGCTGATGAAATCAGATCTCGTAGCCTAGGTTACTGCGCGTTGAGGTAAGTTACAACGATCGAGAAATGAGACGGGGTTGTTGGAAGACTGTGCGCCGATACCCAATTTCCAATTCTGAGTGGATATGGTCAGTGGATCGTCATCTTTATCAATTTAGATTTTTTCTTGAAAAACGCCAATTTGCATCTTTTCTGGCAATGCTATAGATTCTCGGTAATTATGTACAAAAAATTCTTGGTATGAATTTGATTTGAGTATTTAACCGCGAAATGGTTTGATCGCTGGTTGATTCTGAGAAATTGTGAATGGTACAATCATTGACTGGCAAGATCTTATTTGAAAACTGACAATAGTTGGAAAATAAACAGTATTTGTTTACATGATGTTGCCTAGGAAACATATCAGTGTCATAAAATTGAACAACAATAGGCCTATAGATTATTCAGAATATGTTATACGCCTTAAAGCTACCATGTCATTATAACGATGAGTTCGCGGTTTCCGTCCAATTTAGGCACACTGAAAAAATATTCAATTCGGCTAGTGCTTTCGAGATCAGGTGTTGATTTTTATTCCTTTATATGTTAGTACATGAAAACTAGGAAAGTAATGAACCATAAGGAATGAAAAAAATGTATGGAAGTTGGGTCCAAAAGAAAAATCAACAAAACATAAAATATCTGAATATTGTGATATAATTCACGTTTACCATATTGATTGCTTCATTGAATTCACATTTAATGCAATATTGGCAATTGCTTTTAATTCTAATTTGAATTTCTGTTATCAAATCATTCGGGAATTCCATATAATTTCCTTTCATATTGTCATACAGTTTCTTTAGACTGGCTCAATTAAAATTAAATGGTTTTTTATAATGCTTGTTCGGAGAAGAATGATTGAAATGGACATCTTTTAAATATATAGTGAAAACGTGTCTATGGTATCATTTAGGGATTAAATGAGGCGATGGAAGTCAAGATTCTAGTCACGATAGGATTTCAGCTTCATTTTGATTTGACTTATACAGGAAACGTTTATGGTTTCTAGTTTCTTAGTCTTTCGAATTAAGGGTTTACTACACCAAATGATTTCTATCAACTTCTAACGAATATTGTCAATATATATGCTTTCAAGCTGTTATTATGAAAACCTTAATTTAAATTTGATTCAAAACGTAAAAGATTCAAATGGTAATTTCAGATATAAATTGAACTCTATCAGTCTGAAAACAACAATTGTCAAACGTCAAACGTCAGACGTCAAACAACGAACAGTCAAAAATAGATAAAGGTTGAATGTTGATAAGGGGATTCAATGAATAATATTTTTTCAAGTTTTGCTCTACATGTGATTGCAATGATATATTTTTTCACAGTCCATCTTAAACTATCTAGAATAGCTATTTGAATTTATTTCCTGTCCACCCGATGTATTGATTCGGCCTATGGACTTCTTACGCAGTTTGAATAAGCGCATTCACGTTGGTTCCTTGTGATTTCAAAGTAAAATAGAGTGAATGATTATCAACCTAGATTACCTAGTAACCTTTTAAATTGAAATGGCAGGAAGAATCGAATAAACTCATGTCACAGACAAAGTACCCAATTGACATAAGTGATAAATGTAGTAGCACTCTATTGTGTTATTTGAATCCTATCAACTTTGCTTGTTCTGATTATCACGATTCTGTCTGTCGATCTGAGACTAATTATGATTTGTGTTGAAACCTTGTCGCCCACTAAAATTTTCTGACTTCTACTGATCTAATCAAATCAGAACAATCAAAGGCTTTCAACTGATTTAATCAAATAGGAACAACGTAAGACAAACAACTGATCCTATAGAAGAAGGGTAAGCCTTCCAGCTGATCCTATCGCAAAAAGGGTAAGACTAAAAACTGATCCTATCTAAAAAGGGTAATACTAAAAACTGATCTTATCAAAAAAGGGTAAGACCAGCAACTTTACTCATCCTATCGACAAAGGTTAAGACTGACAACTGTTCCTATCCAAAAGGGGAAGATTGACAACTGGTTTTATCTAAAAAGGTTAAGACTAACAACTTATCTTATCAAAAACGGGTAAGGCTTCCACCTGATCTTATCGTACGAAATCAAGGTAAAATCCTCGAACTGGTCAAAATCAACATAAGACCTATTACTGATGTTATCAAATAACACCTCTGACTAAATAAAACCCATGCAAGACCCCTCACTGATCAATTCAAGTACATTCGAATTATCAATAAGTGTAAAATCAGATCAAATCAACGCCAGTATAGTTAACCCGTAGAATAGAGCCATGCGATTTAATACTGATAAACGAAATTTCAAATGACCCAAGTTACGTCGAAAATGATTTAAACATTTTGCCTGTTTGCTCGCACAGCACAACATGATTACTCTTTTCAGACACATGATGGTACATCTCTTTGGAGGAATCCACTACTATACAACTTTTACTGACGATTTTGCCATACTTTGGACGGGATTTTGATTAATGGAATTGTCTTTCATGTACGGATTTTTATTTCTATCCGATTAATGCAAAAAGTACCGACAAAGCTATAAGTAGGTTGATTTTTAATGTGATTAGTTATGTCTAATTCTGTGTTGCCATATCGACCTTATATAACCTGCATCTTATAACTCTTAGAGCATATTCACCATAAGTTTCTGTTTTCTCTTTTCAGTTCCAAAATGGCGCCAATTTATCTAACCTTCATTGCCTCTCTGCTGCTTGCATCTTCAACCTTCTGTGAACAACTTTGCCTGGAAGGATGCAAATGTGAAGACCACCCTTCAGAAAAACTGGGACCCCATTTGATGATAGACTGCAGCAACCTTGGTAGCTCTAGTGTACCGAGAGATCTCAATAAGTTTCAAAATTACGGTCGGCCAATGCATCTCAAGCTCAGTAAGAACATAATAGCCCGAGTATCCAAAGCAGACTTTCCTGAAAACTTACCAATCATCGCCCTGGATTTCAATCAAAACCGTGGAGTTATGATTACAGATGATGCATTTATGAACATCAAAGGTCTTCGATACCTTGGATTAAACGATATAAGCATGCCTTTCACAGATACCATGAAATATCTTAAGGGAATGACCAAGCTTCGGTATCTGTACTTGAACAAGAACTACCAATTTGGCGAAGGTTTGGTTCCTGTATCGTTGTTCTCTGGATTGGAACTTAAATTGAAGGATCTTTCTCTTCATGATTGTTATTTAAAAGGAATTGAAAATGGTGCCTTGGCTAATGTCGTAATAACCGGAAGTTTGGATATAGGTGCAAATCAGTTGGATCACATCCCAGAAGAAGTTAAGACTCTGAAAAATTTAACTAAATTGGACGTTTCCCAAAACAGCATCAAGAGCATTCCGAGCAACACCTTCGAGGGAATGTCCAAACTTAGGACTCTTTCTCTCAGTAATAATTACATCAATGGACAAAGTTTCAAGACAGATTCCTTCAATGGTTTAAAACTGAAAGAATTAAGATTAGAGAAATCAGAATTGAACACCATTCCATCTGCAGCTTTATCTTCATTATCCAGCCTTAAAATACTCAAATTGAATAACAGTCCAATTAAAACAATCCCAAAACACTCTTTTAATGGATCGTATTGTCTGGAAGTACTAGATTTGACCAATGTCTTAGTTGAAATTGAAAATACCCATTTAGATGGCTTAGAATCCTGCCTACAGAAATTGTACCTCAACAACATGCAAATTCGCGAAATTCCAAAATTTTTTAAAGATTTCAAAGTCTTGAATTACGTGTCACTTTCAGGAAATTCCATCTCTGAAATTAAAATGGACGACTTGGTCGGAACCACAATCACGGAGCTGGATCTGACAGAAAACCCACTACACAGAATTGAAAAGGGATCGTTCGAAGAATTTCCTCATGCGATATCACTCATCATTTCCGATACACGCCTTTCAAATCTGAGTTTCGTGCGCGACTATGAGTATGGCACAATCAAAACCATCAAGTTGGGAAATGTTCTTCCAATGTGTGATTGTGAACTGGCCTTTGCAGAGTATCGTGTTCTGGAAATCCATGGAAATTGTAATTTTAATAATACAAAGAACGTGGCTATCAGCACGGATGAGTTTATGTCTGTAACAAGTCACTGTTGGCCTGATGGTAAAATGCCCCAGAAAAAGGATGTATGGGCAGTTGTAGGAGACAATAGTGCTGGCACTTTTTCAACCTCAATCTTAAGTTATTTTTGTGTGTTTTTATTTTTTAAAGTTTTGAATATTGTGTAAAGTGAATTCTCCCTTTAGCCTTATTTTCATATCATTATCATTACTGAATACATGCTGACGTCATAACTCTTTGGATAAATTTTGGAGATTGGAAAGTGTTAGGACTAGTGAAGCCAATCTTGAGACTAATCCTTTTCCATCATACACAAAAACACTTCGTCAGCACATTTGGAATTGCAGAATACAATCCGGAATACAAAGGGTGATTTTATTTGAGTCTGATTGGATATTAACACCTTGGATAATACAGTTTTTCTTAAAAGATTTTGGCACTAGAGCAATATATTGAATGCTCTTAATAAAAAACGACTGTAAAATGGTACTTCAAAGCGTTCGTCTTGTGAATCAAGTTTATGCGATTGTTTTCAGAGTGTTTGTTATTGTGTCTGTTTTCCTATGTTATTGTTCTATCGCTTTTAGTGCTATATTAGTTATCTCTATTACATTGAGTGCCTAGATTGCTTAAATATTGAGAGCATTGCGATCGTCGTAGAGAAACACAGAGGGGATTAATTTCTCAAATGATATATGCATGTACCTCTCACCTCCTTTGTGCTTAACTCGTTGTGTGAGTTTTTTTAAGTTTGTAATTTTAAGGCACTTTTTCTCTATTATTCTTCACATTTTACTGCGACCTATAGTACATTTTCAGCCGCTGTAAGATCACAAACGGTACAGTCAGGTTTGACGCGGCTATAAAGAAAACATTTAAAAAACATCTATTATTTTATTTGTGGATCCCAAGAGACCGCCTGAATATTGTTCATTTTTACTTTTTAATGGAACTCTTCATATTTACATTAAATATAAGTCAGACATACACATTGTATATACGATTTATAATACACGGGAGAGACATTCAGTTATAAACATTGTTGTTTTCATAGATATGACTTATCTTAAACATATTATATTCTGTGAAAATAGACGCCATTGCCATTTATAATATAGACGTCATATTTCATTAACAGCTATTGTTTTTCGGTTTAAAAAGCCAATACAGGAGTTAGGCATCTTACTCTGGAAGTTCTTAATTTGTGACGTATATCTTAATTTCAGTGACCATTTGTGCAGAGAAGTAGGACGTAAAATTCGATTTTATTTGTTGTCCTGGCAAAATTTCCCTCATTGTACCCTACAGGGCGTTGCCCGTCTTCATTAGCCCATATGGGGCGGAAAAGTAGGACGTAAAACTCCATTCATTTTATTTCGATTTTATTCACTTTGCTCTTTACAACAAATTTATAACTGTAAAACTGATGATTTGTCTTTCTTGTCGGTCGTGATGCTCCTTTACAAGGTTAATCTACTTTTAGATACCATTAGTCTATTTAGAAATCAAAGTTGGCACAGATTATAATTGCATGAAATCCGTGCCAACTTTACTGCCATCTGGAATGTTGTGTGTAAATAAATTATTATTATTATTGTTGTTTACGTTTTTTACTTGTTGAATGTCAATAATTAGTCTAGTGATTTAGATAATTAGTCAGATACGATGCGCCATTTCGAATTATAATTTAAAGAAGAATTTGTTGGTGTAGCATCAGCTGTATTTTATTTGCCATATTTGATGAAAAGAAGCTGAATGTCGGATATCAGGGTGATACAGGTGATAAACAAATCCGATTTCATTAGTTCATTGAAGGCAAGTCAAAGTAATCGGTGTTTGATTGAACAAAGTTGACGAAAGATTTTCTTGGTTGTGAAGTTTTGTGTATAATTTTGACATCAACTCTACCAACATTGAAATGACATCGTGAAATTTTCGCCATTTTTTTTAATTGATTGCTACATGTGTGTCTAATTATAAATAAGAAATGATGCATTTCAGGTTGTAAATATTTCCTCTGATCTTTAGTAATTGTCACATTCATGTGTAAATTGCACTTTCACTTCATTAATGATCAATTTGCAGTAATTTGATAGAAGTTTTTAGCAAATTAATGCTTTCGAATAGCATTGCACGAATTAGTCCCGCCTATTATAAATTTGAACTGCATCATTATTGCTTTATCAATTGTATACAGGGGTAACGTTTCTCTTGACATAGAATGGCTTGCTGTGTGGGTCAATTTATAGATTCTACTTTATATCATGTAAGAAAAGGGCAATGGTGAAAATATATGCTTATAAGCAGTGGCGGTGCCAAAGGGCGTACAGAGTGGAATATGCCTGAAAAGTGTCAGAAAGCAAAATTAAATTCGTCAACAATTTTCATGGGAGAACCCTCTCAGACGGCGTCTTTGAGAGTAGCCGCATTCTGAATTTAGCCTCGACAGTGTTGTCCACATTGAGTCAGTCTGACCCCTGTTTGCATCCCAAGTCTCGAGAGGCTGTCACCGCCATTACTTATCAGACAGTTTTAGCTTACTAGGACAATCCTTTAACATCCTTAAATTTAAATTACTTAACTCTATTACCAAAACTCATATTTGTGTGTTCAGTGGGAGAAATGGATTTTGTATTTCTAAAATTTTAAAATTAAATAGAATTTCTAAATTTGTTAAATTTATCGTATTTTATCGTTGAAGTTGTTTTTGGCGCCTTAAGTTATGGCATTTATTCTCAGGTATCTGTAAATTATTTAATAGATTCATTGAATTTAGATTTGAAAACTGTTATTATCCCAAAAACAAAAGTATGCATTAAAATAAAATGGGAATATCTTTAATCTTAGCCACAGTTTTGATCTTGAACGTTAATTAGAGCCGATTCTACTGTAATTCTTTCCATTGTAAATTAGATCTGATCATTTTTAAAGCTTGCCCATCAACACATTTTGACATATTTTTCAATTTATTCATTTTTTATACATTTTCTATTTAGGGGTGCAGAACAGAACAATAACATGTAGAATAAGTCGGTGTTGAAATAATGACCACATAATGATAATTTGATTTGATTATATTAAAAGTTTAAAACAATAATAAGCGTTATACTTGATCAAGGTCTTATGAATAATGTCACAGATAAAGATATTTTTCTTTAGAATTATTGATTTTAATGTTTAAGAATATTTGATAATGCCCTTGTGGATAATGCTACTGTTGAAATAATAATCATCTAAGTTGATAATGTTCTTATTGATAATGTTATAGAAGGCGATCATTGGATGATGCTTTAGTTACAACGTATTTGTACATGTAGGCCTACTACTAATATTGAATACGCTGTCATTGATAATGTCATTGTTGTTAATTATGATTATCAGAGTAGATAATGTTATATCAATGACTAATTAAAAGTGTTTTGATTGATAATGCTAAGGATGGCGATTATAAGAATGGATAATTGATATTGTTAATGCTATCAATAGTATTGATAATGTGTTAATATATAATGATTATTAAAAATAATGTACTTATTGATAATGGTGATGTTCTAAGATAGTTATCATTGCTGATCTAAAATATGATTATCAATGATGTGTGGATATAATGATTATCAGTGATGATGATTATGCGTTTATTGATAATTTGAATGAAGGTTTTATAAACAGGAATGTTGTCATTATGAAATTTAAAAATGTAATGTATTTAGTAACGGTGTGAACTGTGTCTATATTTTTAACTATAGTTATTGAATAAAACTAATTTATCTCCCCTATAATTGTAGTAATTTATTTAATTGTACCCATTACCGTTTCGGTAGCCTTTCCAGTTTAACCTCACTGTGATCACTCATATTTGCTTCATTCAGAATTAATATAGCCTTCCAAGCAATTATAAGATTCAAATATTCTAAATGGAAAAACAGCCAGACCTACATTAATATCGATAGATTCGCCTTGATTAAAACACGTAGCAGACAAACCTTAATAAATTTCTTTTTAAAAGCTCGCTTAGGTTTAAGTACATCTTCACAATGTCAAAATGGCCTTCATTGCACAGTCTGATTCCACTATTAATCTTAATACAATAATGAGAAGGACTTCATTTCATTATGTTCTCGTTTCTAAAATCTCTATCTTAAAATCTTGCTGTAAGTTTGCCAAGTAGCACTGTTCCTAGCATAGACCTCTTGATATTAATCAGTTAATATACCGCATTTACACCTGTATAGTAGAAAACGTATGTTATAATTCTATACTATATAAATAGATCTTTTAGATTTTCTCGTAGGCCTACATCACATACATATTGATATTTATCATATAATAACATCCAGTACATAGACATAGTTACACTTGTTTTGACTCTTTATACAGGTTCCATATACAGCTTGCACTAACTATATAAGATCAATTTTTGGTAAAAATAAATCAAATATACGTTATTTGTAGGCATGTCGTAGGTTCGTCTACAATTAAAAATTCGGACTGAATAAGCAATACCATGGTGGGTAAAACCGTTACATTAGCCTACCCATTTTGTGAATTTATTGTTTGCACATTGGGTGCCTATACTGATATCTGAAAATAACTTATACAACTATTATACAAATATTTTTACTAAATGACTATAGCCCACGCTTATGTTAGCACAGCAACATATGTTATATAAAATCATTTCGTGTATTTACCCCCTCCCAGTCTCACGCATAAAATTGGTTTATTTCATCATAAAACTTACATCAGCTTGAATAATGCACAAATAAATAAACGTAGTCTGATGGTTTTTAAGACTTGCTTGTCACAAAACGATATCAATAGCTTTACAGAATGATCGAGACTAAAACGGAATAGTCTTTAATACTGGAGGCGAAAAAGGTCATTTGATTACAAACATGGCTTCTCAACGTGACACGTCCACTATTTGTTTGTTCGATGTCGATGGAACTCTTACCGCTGCAAGACAGGTAAATATTTTATCAACTTTTGTAGACCTCATGGAGCATGTTTGCAGTAGGATGCCATTGTCAATGTAGAAAGTCTATTACTTGAGGAGAAATTTCGTCATGAATTAAAACAAATGAATGCTAAAGTGAAAGTAAGGACTATGATGCAATCCGAGAATTTTCATCATTGATGTGGGTAGCGGTCAAAACTATTTATTTGAAACTGTCAGACTTATAATAAGTGACACATTGGTGGTTGACTGTCATGTCTGATAGTAATACTCCAGCCAGGCCCTGTTCTGTTACATAATATGCAGTTAGGTCTGTCTCTGTAGCCTACAAAGTTTTAGTCGGTTTTTATATATCGTGTCTGTTGATATTCAGATCATTACCTCAATATCTTTAATTTCAATTCTAGTTCATTTTAAATAGAGAATTTGACAGTGTATTGTTTTTGGCACCTCAAGACCTACTAACCTCAATACAATTATAAAAGTATTAATACCTTACATTACATAGCCAAAACTTTTTTTAAAAAAAAATTAATGAGACAAAGTCTGATCCAAGGGCTCAAGCCATTAACTATGCCAATTGTCAGTGCCAGGTCTCAAATACTCTCGATATAACTGCATGTAGTTTATCCTATTATAGGTTATTACACCTGAGATGGAAGAGTTTCTTGAGAAATTGAAAACAAAAGTTGTAGTTGGTTTAGTTGGAGGATCTGATTTAGTTAAAATAGTTGAACAGATGGGAGGACACAATGAGGGTAAGTGTTTAATTCTGTATTTTCTTTTCCTTTTGAAAGGAGAGTTTGAGCCTTAACTTTGAGGACACAATTGTCCATAATAAAATGAAATAAAAAGTCTCTTTGGAAGAAGTGGCATTAAGTATAAATAAGGTAAAGACATAATTGCTTCAGAATTTTACTTATCATTACTGTCTTCATTATGCCACATGGTGCAGAAGAGCAGGACGTAAAACTCCATTCATTTCATTTCTATTGAGTATAATGTGTAATGTTATTTTTATCTTTATTGCTGTTTTTAGTTATTAAGAAGTTTGACTATTTATTTGCTGAAAATGGGTTAGTTGGCTACAGAAATGGTGAACTCATTGTACAGCAGGTTATTATGATTTTTTTTTAATCAACTATTATGATAATACCTTCCCAGGATCAGGGTTTTTTTTCAGTTAACTTGAAATGGCAAAAATTATTCAAAGGCACAGTCACCATTTGTTCGATCATTGGGTGCTTAGTTTTAGAAATCATTGGGATCTTAATTTAGAAACAGCAATTGTTCAGCATATCAGTACTTGTGTTCATAGCTTCACAAATTTGAACCTTCTTATCCATTTTGATCCATAATTATGTCCCTTTCTTGAAACTCTGCCATTTTGGGCAGATATCATCATAAATTGATTGCTATAATAACTTTTGCTGTCATTTAGTTTGAAGTTGCTTGTTTGAGGACTATTTGAAGAAATTTTGTGATTATTTTCACAGTTCTTACAAGTACTTACATATTATAGTCGATTTCCACATAAAACCCTGAAAACGTTGAAGTACTAGAAATGTAAGAAAACTGCACAATTTCTTTAAAAATACTTCAAACTAGAAATTTTTTCACTATTTCTATGTATGTCATTTTAACTTTCAAACACTGATAATTCTGGACACACATGGATTTGAGGTATCAAATTTCAATGGTGAGCTTTGAACACTATTACTGATTGGCTTAGCTAAAAAAAATCCCGTTTCTGAAACTAAGGTACGATTTGTAAAAAAACAAATGGCGCACCTGTCCCTTTAAAATGAAAAATCAAAGCCTTCATTGTGAATATTTAATCAAGAAACACATATAGGATCTTCAAATCATACTAATCACCTAACAACTGAAAGAGATTTAAGATATAGAATATCAAGACATTTTGGTTTACTTTGAATTATTTTTTGTAACAGAAAGATATCCTTGATATTAACAGTTTTCATGGCATAGATTTTAGACCATGAGAAATTAAAGCCAGTTGTCTGTTTAAGGAAGTAAGCCAGGACACCTTGAAGCTAATGAGCAGTAGCTAAAATTCTTTGCGCTTTGGTCGAAATATAAATGTTTTGTTGTCTATGGCTTATACCTGTCATATAGACTACGCATTTTTTTCTGAAAATTTCAGGATTTATTAAAACACAGTGGAGAAGAAATTTTACAACGAATTATCAATTTTGCTTTAGGCTACATGTCTAAACTACAGTTACCAGCCAAAAGGTGAGTTCTATGTCATTTTGAACTCATTTGGTGTTCTTGTAGCCAGCCAAAGAATTTGTGCACCTCAAAGGGCAATTCAAATACAGCCGACAGAGCTCTTAAATATGTGGGTGTTTGTGTTTGTGTTGGTGAAATGGTGTTAGAATTTCTAAATTTGGATTTCACATAGTCTAGAATGTTTCAGTGCGTACTCCTATGATTATGTCTTTGCTACTTTCATCATTGTGTTTCTCCATTTTGTTTTCGCTTGAATGTTTATAAAATCAGTATCAAATTTAACTGTAGTATTATAAACTGACTTAATGAATGGTAATATTCCTTGTGAAATATAAAAGAGAACCTGAAACATGTTACTTAGAGATTCACTGTGGGATCTTCAGACAACTGACCTATAAGTAACTGGAAATAATTGTCTGATGATGACACAGGGTGAACTGAATTCTGAGTAACAACATGTTTGAGGTTCTGTTTGACAATTTCTGTAGTGCTCTACAATTGATGCACTCTTTTTACATTGAAAATATGATGTTAGTGTATTCATTGTTGATATATTTTCAGAGGAACATTTATTGAATTTCGAAGTAGTATGATCAATATATGTCCTGTTGGTAGATCCTGTTCTCAAGCTGAACGAAACCAATTTGTAGAATATGATCAGGTATAGGGCCTAGTGGAAATTTATTTTCAATTTATTGTTTAATTTTGGAGCGATATTTTTTTTATGTTGACTGAGGCATTTTGAAAATATTGAACAAACAGTTTAAAACAGCATTTTATGCTCTGGCAATTAGATATGAAATATTTCATATGGAAATAAAAATCTGTAAAGTATGAATATGAGGAGAGGTTTGTACCAGAATTTGTTAAAAGGATTATTTACGGGCCTTAGACCAGTGCTTCTCAACAGGGGAGGAAGATTTGCTAGGGGAAGAAATGGTGAGGAATCGTCGGACCTGAGATGTAGTGGAAGGCAAGGTGATCTGCGACTGAAATTGATGTCATTCACCCTGGACATATAGGAAATTGTGAACGAACATTCGACCTATGGGTCACATTGAACTATCTCGATATGTGGAGTATGATTTTATATCCATTCATAGTTGATCGTTGAATAAATTTTCAAGTTAAACACGTTTCAAAATGACTGATTTATTTTGGGAATGAAGAGGAATGATCTCAATGAGGTTGAAAAGCACTGTCTTAGTCCTTTTCTTCAGTCCAGTATATCATGTCCAAGTGATCCTGAAGGTTTGAACCCATATGAAGACCTCTACCTATCATTGTAATTATGAACTAATTGTGGACCTATTATGATAACATTATATTCTTATAATTTTTAATTTCAGAAACACAAGTTAAGAGAGAAGTTTGTCAGTGAGTTATATAAAGAATTTCCTGATGCAGGTTTTAAGTTTGCTATCGGTGGTCAAATTAGTATTGATGTATTTCCCATGGGCTGGGATAAAACATTTTGTCTACAATACCTGATAAAAGACGGTTTTAAAACAGTCCATTTCTTTGGTGATAAAACAGCTCAGGTAGGTTTTCAGGGGTAATCCATCTGGAACATGAATGGTTTTTGTCTTTGACACAAATCTTGAGTAAAATCTCCTGTATGCTCGCGCTACCATACATTATCTCATGCCGACAGGATTTTGAACATCAAAAGATTTGTCAGTGTTTTTTTTTTCATTTGCCTGCATGCAAAAACGAGACAATACTCTTCAGAGCATAATCAAATCATCACATGATTGTTGACATATGAGATAATGAAAAACAGGAGATTTTCTGTCTGGTGCAGTGGTTTGAATTTGCTTGATACGTTTCCGTTCCTGATAAAAATCGTGCTGTTTAACAAATTTCCGGATAGTTGAAACATGCCATATCATAACTAGAGTTATGTCCCTTCCTTCTTAGAAACCTGTCAAGAGTCAGGTATGCAACATGTCAAAGACATAATTGTACTTACAAAAAATACATTCATTAAAATTACGATTTGCTTTTTTATGTATATTTAAAATTTTGAACAGAATATGGCCATATCTTCCACCAATATGATTTTATCTTCATGTATATCATATTAATATATAATATACCAACACGTATATTCCTTCAGTCATATTCTATTAATCATAGATTTCATTGCTCTGCTATTTTCAGGGTGGTAACGACCATGAAATATATGAAGACAGTAGAACAGTTGGTCACACAGTTAAAAATCCTAGTGATACCAAAGAACAAATAACTGATATGTATTTTAAATCTTAATGATGGTCTATATTATTAATATTTAGAAATGAGGGATTAAATTGCACAAGGTTTACATAGTTTAAGTCAGGGGTTTTCAACATGGGGAAATTTTGATATTTTCCAGAGTAATATGACGCTTTGTAGCCAAGCATGAAATATTTGGAAAATATAATTTAAATTATTCTTTATAAATGAAATGAAAAAGATTGCAGGAAAAAATTAAGAAAAAATCACAAAATTGTTAGGATTTATAGGGGGAAGGGGATAATAGTAAGTATTTATAGGGGGAAGGGTGTAATGGTAAGTATTTAAAGGGGGAAAGGAGGGTATTAGTAAGGATTAATAGAGGGAAGGGGGTAATGCATTTGATCAAGGATCCTGAAAGTGGTAATGGAAAAATAGTTTGAAAACCCCTGGCAAAGACCAGCAATGATAATTATACACATCTTATAATTTATTGACTAAACAAAATTGAAAATAAAGTTAAGTTGAGTGAGTGACCAATCTAATGAAAAAAATGTTAAATCAATATATGAAATAGAATATACAATAACTAAAAATTTTCAATGTTAAAATAGTGCTCAATACAAGTATTGTAGAGATATACAGAAATACCACTGTTAAAATAGTGCTCAATACAAGTATTGTAGAGATATACAGAAATACCACTGTTAAAATAGTGCTCAATACATTAGTTGTAGAGCTATATAGAAATACTACTGTTAAAATAGTGCTCAATACATCAGTTTTAGAGATATATAGAAATATTAAAACAGAACTTTAAAAACATGTTGTTACTCAGAGTTTCATGCTATGTGATCTTCAGACAACTGATGTATTTTCAGCCTGTGTCCCTACTGAAGTTTGACAAAGTACATGGGTTAGCACTTTTTTAACACTGAAAATATTTTGTTATTGTAAAATATATTATATTAAAAAAAAACAGAATCACATTGTGTTCATTGAAACAACAAAAACGTCTTCAAAATATAAGTTAGTGTTCATGTTTTAAATCGTTTCTGAATATGCATATATACCTTTCCTATGGACACAAACTACATTTGGCAGAATCAAAATCTTCAATTGTACTTAGGCAGATAACCTTTTTTTTCTTTGGATTATTCATTATAGATTATACAACAACTCTTCTTTCTGTTGACAATGCTAATGGCAATTGCATTTTAACTAACATGTCACTTTTCAATAATGAATATCTTAGAATCGCCAAAGTGCTTGTGTATAGTACAAGTCAAGTAAACTACAAAAACTAAGTGCAATTTTTCATTTATTTTCTGTGGGTTACTATTGAAATAACTCACAGAAAATATATATCTTGAGCTCTATGTTAAATAGATTTTTACTGAAAACTTATATTTCATACATTTTTATATTTGTTTTTTTTTTTAAGCTAAATCTACACTGTTATTTAGGAAATGGCTTGTAATTTTTCTTTATGGATTTAAATACAGAAAATTGATCAGTATTAAGCATGATTCCAATTAGAAAAACTTCAAACCATATATTCTGAAGAGTTTGAAAAAACTACAGTTGAATATCCAAAATTTGCTTATGTTTAGGAAAACTATTTCACCATCTTATATAGGCCTATTGTATCATTATATGTGTTTTTTTAAGGTGTCATTTCATTGGGAATAAATTATTTTATTATTTTTAAAGTCTTGTCCTTAGAATACAAACTGATCTTATTTTGGTCTGAAAATATTGTGAAGAAAGGAAGTTGTCTCCCTTTAATTAGTTTTTCTTCATGAAGTTGTTGCAAACGCTACTATCGTAGGCTACTGAGTGAAGATTCTGTGCAGATTGATAGCTCCAATTTATTACGTTTGTCCTGATGCAAGTAAGTAGTGTACCACTTAGATCTTTAATGTAGGCCCTAATTGTTATCATTCCTTTGGAAAAGACAATATCTGACAACATGTTATTAGCCCATCACAAATCTTCAGCACATGTATGAGTACATTACCATCAGACCTGTCACTTCCTTGATGATGGATAATTGATTGTAAAAGAAAACAACCGTGCATAAATCAAATAGTAGCCAAATTAGTGAGTTGATTAATTTACATATATTATACAAAAATTTTCACCAACCAACAATATTCTCAGACCTACTATATTGAGGCTGTTATTCCAATTCTCATAAAAATAGTGGAAAAAATTAAAAATAACTTTTTACTTTGTTCAGACAATAGTTATAATGAATTGTTGTAGAAGATAAATACTAAGAAAAGATAATGATACCACTGGGTAGATGCATGGAAAATGTTTTTCCTGACATTGATATCTAGATCAATTATGTTACACAATAAGGGATGCATTTTGCAGCTGTTGTCAAGTTGGTTACTCATGAAATATTAGTCAAAGTAAGGGATTTATAAAAAAAATCAAAATTAATAAATTTTAATTATTTTATTGAATATCTAAAGAAACATCTAAAACATAAAAGGAAAATGTTACGTTTTTGATTTTGACAAAATTTGTCAATGAATTCTTATGTGCACAAATATAGGTTCAACTAATGTACCGGTATGACAATTTGAATTATCAAGTGTAGTGAGAGTTACCTTCAGAGTTAACC